TTGAGTCACGTTCTTCTGTAAGGTATAAGAGAAGCAGATGAAGCCAACCAAGAGAAGGAGAGACAGGTGCCGAACCATGTGGAGCTCTCCACGGAGCCAGGAAACACGGTGAAGAGAGCAGGGCATTCCCCCAGAGCTGACAAAGAGAGAGCACCTTTTGCTTAGAGCAGGCACCCTGAATTTGAACTCCGAGCCTCCAAAATCCGCTCAACCATAAGAACAATTGTGAGGTTGGCATGGGACCGAGCAGCGTTTCGTTCAGTCGTGCATTAGGTAGTTATAGGTCGGAGCCGATTCGAGGGCACCTAACAGAGATCATAAACTGTGAGAAAATAACTTCCCGCTCATTTAAGCCATCCACGGGTGCCATTCCTGGCGGAGCACTAGGTGGCGGAGTGCCAGTGCTGGCCGAGCATTTCGGTCTTGCTGGTCTGGAGTTGGAACAAGTTGTCCAAATGATTTCTTATGGTCCTGGGTATTTTGATAGAGCAACATAATCATTGTCATTTCCCTCTATTTGGGACCTTCTAGTTTGTACCTCTGACATGTATATTATTTGTGGAATGATGGCCGTAAGCTATTCAGAAATGATTTTTTAAAGGTCACTTAAGTTAATGGCACTTTTTGTGCACAGAAAAATGATTTGGTGTTAGATGTAGGAATGTCAACCTTCTTAACGGGACCCATTCCCATGATCTATTCACTCCAAAATCCCTGGTGCCACTGTCCATTCAGCATTGGCCTGCTAACCACAAGGTTGGCAGCTTAAACCCGCTGTCGGCTGTCTCCTCTTGTAAAGACTCACAGAGCATCGGAAACCCCATAAAGGGTCCCTGTGACTCAAACCCAGCTGCACGGCAGTGGACTTGGTTTGGGTCTATTAACTCCGAAAGGAAGCCTCCTAAAATAGCAGTTTGCTCTGGCCCCGAATGGAAAAGAATATTAGGAGACACTGTCACAGCTGGTAAGATCTAAAATCACTCATCAGGCTCATTGAGCGGTTCCTCATTTCTCAGGGTACGATATTTTAGAAGCCCTCACCAACAGACTTGCAAGCTAAATTGTTTGCACTTTTCATCCGTCTGGAAGAGGGATTAGACATCGAGTAGACAACATGGGCTGGCTACTCTTTGCAGCATCTTCGAGGAGATGGCTCTGATATGCACCACTGTTTTTAATCACTTAAAAGGCAATAACTCGATTATGGCATCCTTTATGTAAGAACGGCCGTTGCTTTCAGCTCACTTCCAGGCCTGACACAAGTAAATCACTTCGATAAAATCCCGTTTTTCCCCTCGGAGAGACTCCCATAAGTAATGACGCCAGTGCTCCACCAGGACAAAAAGGCTGTCATGGAGGCCCGCTCAGGAGGCAGAACGTTTCGCCAGGCGGTGATTCATCGTGTTACGTAGAACATGACTTTTTTTGTGCGTCTGTGGAAGAGACTAAATGATCACCCATCCCTTATAAAGGTGCAAATACTACACGCTTCCCTGGTGAACTTCGAATGCTCGCAGCTAGTTACTTCTGCGCATGAGTATGGGGAGACGAAGCCCTTTTAGGAACATGTTCTCCATACTTTGGGCTGCTTGGGGACCATGCCTTTGTAATTATACAATGATAGACTGCTTCCCAGTGCATGGAAGCAAGTTCCTGCCTCATGTGAAAGCACCCGCCTAATTATATTTTCAGTTCATTTTAAATAGTGACAAGCTGACACTCGGCCTACACCTGAAGGGTCTCAGCCTGAATGGGGCTCGTGATTGACACGTTCCTGCAGGTTCCTCCGGGCTTTTTAGGGACCCAGATTTCCCCCAAAGACAGAGTCTTTATACCGTATGTAAGTCCCTGACGAGCTATGAACACTGTTGGAATTACCAGGCTGTAAGTATATAAAGATTAAGACATATGGCAGTTGGAAAGTTAACTTACTGAGCTCTGTGTCAACTAGCCCTCCACATTAACGTCTGCATTGAATGGATTCATGGGTGCCTGTCAGTGAATGGGAGCGTGCTTTCATTCCAGGCTGACTCTAAGGACTCCACAAGGCTGCCCTATGGGTTTGGGGTTTTCTTTAAATGGTTACACTTTAAAAGAAGGTGAACTAACTAATCTTATAGGCTAGATGTGATTTTATTAAAACGAAGCAAAACAAGACAAAAACACTGTCCTTGAATTGAGTTCTGCCTCGCAGGGTTTCCCAGGCCGTAAATATTTTACAGGAGCAGACAGCATCTTTTTTCTTCTTCAGAGAGGCTAACAAAGTAGAATTCATCGAAAGTAAAACCTTCCGCTCTTTGAAAGAGAATGGAGAGAGAAGCTAGTGACTGGGCGAAGATAGTCACAAGCCATAGATCCTACAAAGACCAGTGCTCTGATATACAAGGAACTCTCAACTCAATTAGAAAACAGATGCCCTAGTGAAAACTTAAGCAAAAGGGTTGAACAAATTGTTCACCAAAGTAGATCTCTGGCCATCGTGAGTCAGAACATAGAGATGCTCAACACGTTAGTCCTCAGAGAAATGAATGTTATAATTACAGTGAGAAAGATGGATCCTAAGGACATGGGACAACCGGAGCTTTCAGATGCTCTTCTGGTGAGGCTGCTAATTGGCACAACAGCTTTGAAAAATCATTCGACCATTTCTCTGCACATTAATCACATACCTGCCATACAATCCAGACAGTCCACCCCTAAGTTTTGACCAAGACAAAAGAACACATATGTCCATTTAAAAGAAGCCTTTATGAGTTGGGGGGGGGGGCAGCTTTATTTGTAACAGCCTCCAACTGGAACCAAGTCCAATGCCCCCCAACAGGACGACATTTGATACACAGACTATAACAGATCCATAAAATGGGATTCTGCTCAACGTAACTCACTGCTATCGAGTAGCTTCTGACTCCTAGTGACCCTGTAGGACAGGGTAGAAGTGCTCTGGTAGGTTTCTGGGACTCTAACTCTTTATGGGAGTAGAAAACCTCTTCTTGGGGTGGAACGGCTGATGGATTCAAATTTCTGACCTTATGATTAACAGCACAACACAGGACCCACTCACTGCCTCACCAGGGCTCTTATAGCAGGAGAAATCAGTCCCCGGCAAAGGACATCAGGTTTGGTAGAGAGGCAGCATAAAAAGAGGAAGCCCCCCAGTAAGATAGACTGACACAGTGACTGTAACAATGGGCTCAGACATCACAGTTGTGACGATGGCCTAGGACCAGTGGCCCCTTCCGCTGCACACGGGGCTGCTATGAGCTGGAGCAGATTCGGAAGCGGCCAAGAACAACCAGCACAAACAACCCAGAACGAACAAGCATGAGCTGTTGATCCCTATTCTCTGACATGGGCAACTTTTACAACAATTATGCTGAGTACAGGGGTTCCAATGTAAAAGGAACTATAAGCTATAACTCCATGTTTATCAAATTCTAGGAAATGCAAAACAGTCTGTAGAGAGAGAAATGACATGAGGGGTTTCCCAAGGAAGGTAGGTCAGGTCAGCGTCGGGTCCCGGAAGAGATTACTAACGGGTAACATGTCCGACTTAGAAATGGCAGACATGTTTATTTTACCTGCGGTAATGGCTTCACATATATACATAAAGACCTATAGCAAATGTACCCTAGTGCACCTTTTGAAAATGTGCTGTTGATTGTAAGCTAATTATACCTCAATATAGTTTTTCCTCGGTTTAGTTTTCAGAACCCCAGGTGGTTCAAAAGCAGAGGCGAGGTGGAGAACTCCTATTTCACTTCCTCCAGTTGTAGTTCCACTCCACGCAGGCAGGTCATTGTAGGCACTTTCTTGTGTATGAATCCGGAAATATTATTGTTGGGAAAATGGGAAAACAGTCTATCCTGTGACCTTCTGGCCTCCACTTAGACTGCCTGTCAGAAGCCTTGGGCCCAGGGCATTCCCTGATAACGGGGCTGGGACCTCTTTCTGTCTCTCGACTTCTTCTCCTTATCAGAGGGTCTCCCTCTATGCTCTAAGTACAAAGTAAACTCTCGGCTCTGCCCACATCTCACCCCCTTTCTATATGCACGTCCCTGTGGGGAGCAAGTTCCTAGTGACAGGAGAAATGCCGCTGTCGAGGCTGAAGGTGCTGTCCCCTCTATGCAAAGCAGTGTTTTATCCAGCACCTGTGAGCAAGATGTGCTTTTATGGACCCCAGAACTTGGCTCTATAGGTTGAAGCAGTGAGCAGAGGGAAAAATGACACATATGAGTATACAGGCATATATGAACATAGCCCTGTTTTCATTTTTCTTTTTAATTCCCAAATGGAAACCTACTTTATACACTCTCCATAGTTCACTTCTTTCACTCAACTGTCTGTTGCAGATAATTCTGTCTCAGTCAGTATGAAGAAATGGTTTCATTATTTTTAAGTTATGCATTGATCCATTGGACCTGGATGCTACATGATCCCCATTAATTTGACTCTCTCTGGTGGTCCTGATCCATTAAATCTCAAACTTCTCCATTATCAAAATGACCCATTTTGTTATATTCTGTATACACTTGCTCTGTTTGTTCGTATTGAGTTTTTTTGTTTTTAATGACTGGTGATATTTTCAACATTTTGCTAACACTTCTGCAGATACGGAATTGGTGAGGTTCTGATCATTCATTACCTGTTGAGGCCAGTGGGAAGAGTCATTGGAGTTTTTAATAGAACCTTCATTTCCTTACCCCCTTCGCCCATCAGTGGACTGTATTCTTGTGGGCAGGTGTCACGTTCTTCTTCCACTTGGTGCTCAGACCTCGTAGGATTTCAGGGCCTTGTCTCTACCCAGCCCAGCTGTTTGCTTACCTGCGTCTCCTGAACTCACAGTTCTGAGGGGTTTACAATATTGTGAAGGTCATCTTTCCCTCAAGTGGTTTACCTTGTGTCTGAAAATGTCCTTACTGTCTAATGAATTATATTAAGGTGTTTTATCTTTGAGTACTTCCCTCTGAAGAATACTCACGGAGTGTCCTTTTCTGACCTAGGGAAAGTGTGGAGAGCCTGATTCAAAAGCATTCCTACGCCCGCTCACCCATCCGTACCTATGGAGGAGAAGAGGACATCCTGGTGGATGAGAGCCAAACCACACAAACCCGAGGTGAGACCCCTTCTGGGCTGTGGAACTGCTGGGAGCCAGAGCACCTTAAGGGAAAAGGAGGCAGGTAGCTGGTGAGGCGTATTTCATTCCATGTTGCTGCAAAATGTGTGATGCTCTCTCATGTTGTCCCAGCCAAGAAAGGGTTTGAGAGCCCTCTTAGAAGGGAATAAGGAGCCCCGCTGGTGCTGGTGGAGAAGCACTGGCCTGCTGAATGTAGGCCAAACCCACCACTGCTCTGGGGGAGAGAGAGAAGCTTGCTGCTCCCTGAAAGATAGGCAACCTTGGAGACCCCCCATAGAGTCACCAGGAGTTCGAATCCACTCCATTACAGGAGGTGGACTAGGAAGGAATAGCCCGTCCTCGATGTGGATTCTCACACGTTTTATTATTTTCCCTTAGAGTCTTAAAGGACTGCTGTCTGAAGGTTAGCTGGGGTTTGATTATCCAGGCAAAGGATATTGAGCCTTTGAGTCAAGGGTCAGTCATTTCTAGTCTTCGATTTACTACGAAAGAGTGATGTCTATCATCTGAAAATTGGGAATATATTTTCCCACATAAACCGGGGATACTTTTCTAGAAGGGAACACATTTAGGAAAATGATTCTCCTAATGAAGTGTGTTCTGTAGCTGTAGCGATGGCGATCCTTTCCATAGCAGGACTAGGGGGTAGTGTCTGTCACCCAGGCTCAGAGAGGAGCCCTCTGCCTGTGGGACCAGAATCCAGGGAAACAAGGGGTGAATTCAGAATCAGGGGGGTGCCCCCTGGGTTTCTGTGTCATTTCTTATGGTGGGTAATAATGTGGAATCACATCCACAGTTTTGACCACCATGATAGGGCGGTTCTTTTAACTCACTTCCAACCAATATACCCCCAGAACATTAGTAGACGGGATGCCAGGTCTTCTCTCAACGTCTGAATGCTGGCTGCAGTGTAAAACACGAACACAGTCCATGGGTCCTCACAGTGGCTTTAGAAACCTGCTAGCTTTGTTGAGGCTCGACTTTCCCACCTTGCTTAGGAAGATGCTGTAGAGGTTAAGACAAACACCACCTTGTTCAGCCACACCGGTGATCTAACGCAGGTTAGCTGAAGCAGGTTACCTAAAGGTGTGAATCTTTTCCCAGTTGTGGAATTGTCTCTTCCTCATTGCTGTGGTTAGTTGGCTGTCCATGCATACTGGGATACAATGCTGCCTAGTTCTGGCTGTCTCCAGGACAAGTCCCATACTAGACCATCATGATCCTTAGGAATTTCATTGGCTGATTTTCCAGAGGTAGATCGCATAGCCCTTTCTTCTTAGTCCATCTGAGTGAGGAAGCTCTGCTAACATCTGTTTCACATCAAAGCAACATGCTAGCCACCACTGATAGGACACGAAGTCTCCTCCGGAAGACCAAAGTTAACCAGCAATGCTTCTTTGTCTTTTCCATCCAGGATGTGAGTGATCTGTTCTAATCTGGAAATAGACTTGCCTCATGGTTGACAAGTTGGGTCATCTTTTTAAATTGCATATTTGTTCATTCTTTTTGAAAAGTTATCCATCTTTTGCGATAACGTCGATTGTGATTTGCACTTTGAAATCAAGTTTCCAGGCTAATGGGTTGTTTTTTCCTTCCAGGGTCAGCCTTTACAACATCTGATAATCTGTCCCTAAGCTCCTGGGTATCATCTTCATCCAGTTTCCCTGGATTTCAGCACCCACAGTCCCTGACTGCCCTTGGCACCAGTACAGCATCCATAGCAACACCCATTCCTCATCCCATACAGGGATCTCTGCCACCTTATAGCCGACTTGGGATGCCTCTGACCCCATCAGCCATTGCCAGCTCTATGCAAGGCAGTGGCCCCACATTCCCTTCATTTCACATGCCTCGATACCATCACTACTTTCAGCAGGGGCCTTATGCTGCCATTCAAGGACTGCGCCATTCCTCTGCTGTGATGACGCCATTCGTATGACTCTTCTAGAAATGGGGAAATTCCAGACCCAGAATGTGCAGTCTGGGTATGGAAATGTCAGAGAGGGTGGGGTGGTGGGGTGGATGTTGGAGCAGGGGCTCTCTAGGGACACAGGACCTATGAAAGGGGAGAGCTGGACTCAGAATAAACTTCCGCTGGAGGAGTGTGCCAAGGACCAGGATGCATCCGTCGTTGGGGGCACATTTGCTGGGTTCAGTGTAAAGTTCTCAGCCAGCCAACTTCTGCAACTATATGGATGTCATCTTGCTGAAAAATAAGAATGTTTGGACACACTAATGTTTAATGAGGCAGACCAGATGAATCTTAGGGCGCATTATTTCTAGTGGTTAAAAAAAATGCTGTGTTGATGCAGTAATGTATAAAATCCATGTGTATAGGCTTTCTTTCTGCTTCCACAAGTTAAGAGAATTTTCAAAGAGGCAATACTACATAACGTGCTGATGATATCGATTAACTTAAGTTCTCCCTGGAGAAAATGGGAGCTGATAGAGAAATATTTGTAGCACTGTAGCTTAAGCATGTTTAGTTTTCCTTTGTGTTAGTTTGCAGGGAAAGGAACTGGGATAATGCTAATGTATCTTGTTTTGTGGATGAATAGGCTATAATTACCTCACAGACTTCTTTTGTAATACTGATGTTTGCCATTGACTTAGGACCAGCCCTCTTGAAGCATGAGGCTGGATGTGTTACATTGTAACTCCGAAGTTTTCTTTTTCTGGGCTGGCATTCTATCTACTCTACATATCCCCTGAGGAACTTGTCTATAGTGCATGAGGATACAGGAGGCTGCCCTTCATTTACAGCTACAATAAAAAGATGGTTGCCCTCTTCCGGAAGGAATTTCTCCACCTTGGGTGCCAAAGGCCCCTGCATTTTCAAGGCATCTCTGGAAGAGGTCTCTGGTGTTGAAGTGCACTGGGCCACATTCTCTTTTTTGGTCACCTCTGCTTGTTGTTAGGTTAGTTGCTGCCACCAGTTGAGCAGGGCTTGTGAATCTTTGTCAGAAGGGTATATCAGAAAGTACTTAACAACAGGGGTCCTTTAAGGTTGATATGCTCACAAGAAGTTTTGTTCCTATGTGTTTGATTTCTTCCTTCTTACGGCACTCTCTGCGACTCCTTTGCCATTTTCTAGGTCTGTAAAAGGATTGCGTGCTAAGGACTCCATCAAACATTGGCAGTTCTTATAAGTACATCTGAAGTATCAGTCCACTTTATTCTCCACTCCTGCTGTCTTCTTAAGCCTTCTTTGAACGTTTCTAACAGTAATGAATTTACAGTAGGTGTATATAAACTGTATGTTTTTGAGGAACATCTGTCTAAGCCTGGGTAGTCAGGGTAATATGTTCTACATTTTGTAGAGACTCACTCAAGTTAGTAGTCTCTCCACTTCAGATGTCATGGTGTTCCAGTTCAGAGCCTAACTGACCTTCTTCAGAAAGCTCCCCCAAACCCAATTTTAATTTAATGGTTGCAGGCAGTATTCATTCTACTTTGTTTTGACTACAAAACTATTGAAGGGGGGGGGGGATGAGAAATTCTGCTGTTGACAGTAGATGTGCATTTAGGGCTAAAGACCATTTCCTTGCCCACATCAGCCTCCAGTAGAGTGTCATTTGATCGTTTTATTGTTAGGCATTTCCATCTCAAACCCCTTTCTTTGGGTGTTTCTGGCCTATGACAGAAGGTACAGGAGCACAGCCTGTCTATACTATGTCACTATTGGAGTTTGCACTTCCCTCTCTCCAATGTATCCCAAAGTTCATCCGCAGAGATGCCAGGGCTGCGCTAACAAAACATCTCAAAGTGACAGACCCTGTAGACTCAAATTCTAACTCTTTGCATGCTGTGCTGTCGGATCCACTGGCAGTTTATTTTCACACAAAGCACAGATGGGCATTTCTTCAAAACCAGACAGCTACAAATAATAAAAAAAAGAAAACATCCATACAGCTAGGGGGTTGATATTTAATAGTTGGCCTATTGCCAGTGCTCCTTTGAATACAGAGTATTGCTGCTTAAAGCAAGACTAGCAAAAGATGTTGTTTTATATGATGCTACTCAATACCCTGATTAATTATGGGTCCACTGAAGTGAGTCGAGTCTGCATTACCTTTTCAGGAGAGAACAAAGGGGTTGTCATAGTACTATTTTGACATTCCTCCCCAAGTTGTTGCATGTCTCACACGCAGGTTTGTGTACATTTGTCAATACAGTTTTGTGCCAGGATTTCCAGACTTCATAATATTATTTTGAAAGATAAAATTATACCTGGAAATTATGCCAGAAATTCTAAATTTGATATGATTTTAAGTATTTGGCCTTATTTGAAGGAGTCCTGGTGGCATCATGGGGCACTTCTGTGTTAGGCTGCTGTCAGCTCAGTAGTTGCAGCCTACCTGCCGCTCCCTGGGGGAAAGATGAGGCTTTCTGCCTATTTAAAAAAAACCAAACGATTGCTCTGAGTTGGAATCGCCTCTGGCTATGGGTTTGGGTTTTGATTTGCTATTTTTGGGGTAGTATCATGAGTAATGTACTGGGCTGCTAATCACAAGGTCAGCAGCTTGAAATCACCAGCCACTCTGAGGGAGAAAGATGAGTCTTTTAATTCCTGAAAAGTGTAACAATCTTGGGAAACCCACAGAGGCAGTTCTACCCTGTCCTATAGGATCACAGTGAGTTGGAATCCACTCTATGGCAGTGATTTTTTAAATCTTATTATTTGAATAAGAGAAAAAAAGCACAAGTGAGATGAGGCTTGACCTAGAGTCACTGTAGCCTGTGGATAGGAAGTGACCCACCTGGACAATTCTCAGAAACCCTATGCAGTAGTTGTACTGTGTCCCACAGGGTCTCTTTCAGCCAGGATTGACGCGATGGCAGTGGTGGGTAGGCCTTTCTGGGAGTCCATGGGCAGTATAAGAGTAAAAACACTTACATTAGGCTGCCAACAGAAAGGTTGGAGGTTCAAGTCTACCCAGGGGCACCTCAGAAGAAAGTACTAGTGATCAGCTATGGAAAACCCTGTGGAGCCAACTTCTCCTCCCTGCCCCTCAGGGGATGGTGGGGAGTTGTCAGAGTCTAACTGGGCCTTTCTGAGTGATCCTGGCTGTTGGTTCTGACTTAACCCACTGGGAAGGTAAGATTTTAAATTCCCAGTCCAATTTTATGAAAAGCTAAATGCAAAGACTAGCTCATGAGTAGTGAATTAAATGATAAAGAGGTGAGTTATACTATATTTGGAATACATTCAGGGTGTTTTTTTCACAAGCATATTAAAGTATCAAAAAGTAATGGCCAATGTGCAGTGCATCAGACCTGCTTCACCCAGCCCCAAGAAATCAATTCATAACTTAGTAGTTCTACACTTGTCATTTGGACAGAGACGGTGTTGAGGAGGGGTTTTCTACCTTTTCAGACTCCCCTGGAATGTGAAGAGTTTGGTAAACAAGCAAAGGGAAGATTGCAGGTGCTAACAACTTCAGAAAAATCACAAAGCCCGTTGGTTACAACGTTCCCATGCCCATTACAAATATTCCAGCACTTACCTTTCTTTGGCATGCTTACATATGCAAGGAGTCGTTGATAAATATTGACCAGGCAGATAATCCAGAAGTATTCCCTGGCCTTTCTATCTCAGTCCCTCCCCACACATAATCCCAGCCCTCTGTCTCCCTCTTAAACAAAAGGTCCCCGGCAATAGGAAGATGAAAACATTCTGGTCAAACAGTTTCCAATATATATTGACAAAAAGTACAACTTGTTGTATTTTACTTCTGCTCTATTTACTGCATTTAGCTTTCATTGTTCTGTTCACAAACATCAAAATATTTTTTTCCCTAAAGGATAAACATTGAAGATAGCTTCTGTAGTAGACTCCTCACCATTCTGCTGTTTGCTGTGCTCATTTGTTGACAGAGTTGCGTGAGAAAAGCCACTGCAGTGAAGTGTGTGTGCTGGGGTGGGGGGAAGGGCTGGGGAAATGTTTTATGAAAGAAGTTATAAGCCTAATACTATGAAGTAACATCTAATGAAGTTTCTTTTTAAGTGCAATATATTTATTTCTGCTAGAAATGTATTATCGGCATTATGTAATATTGGAAGCATTACATGTTATTTGTAAACAGCTTAAAATTATATATTACCCAGAATTGTACAGAAGTACAAATGTGTGGATATTGATTTCTTTCATTACAAATGGTGGGGGGGGGGTTGCTAGCTATAGCTACACATATTGACATATTTCATGATGATACACATTCTGCTTTGTGACTCTTTGTAGCTGCTTTTTGCTCACCTATGAAAAGAGACACGCCCCGCGATCAAAACAGAGGAACACTTCTTTGACTTGCACAACGTTTTGAAAAACTATTTCATTGCTGTTAAAAGCGGTTAAGAGAAGACAGTTTTCTAGTTCAAGGGCCTGCGATTGAACATTCTCCTATACCCAGACTCCTTTGTTCACCCATTCTATCTGTTGAACCCTTCAAATCATGTGTCTCTTGTATCTCTTGGCACTGTAAGGTAAGGTAAGTGGTTCAAACCCACCAGTAGCTTCTTGATAGAAAAATGAGGTGGTCTATTCCCCAAAGATTTACAGACCTGGACACCCTATCGAGGGCCAATAGGAGCCCAAATCGATTTTATGGCCGGGAGTGGGCACTAAGCGATGCGGAAGATTCCATGCGGTGAAAAAGACGCCTTGCAGTCAAGTCATGGATGTGCTGTGATGATGTCACAGAAAGCCAGCTGGCAAAATGAGATTAGCTAGACTCCAAGTCTTACTCTTTACATACAGCAATCTTTCAAAATGGTTTATTTGTCATACCTATTGCTTTCAGAAGGCATCTTGATTACCTTTCATTTTCTTGTGTGTGCCAAGCACTCAACTTTTTAAAACATATTTGGAACGATCCCAAATGCTGCAAGGAGAACAAAAGGAAGCCTGGACACATCCAGATTCACCACTGTCCATATTTTGCCCCCTTTGTTTCATAATTTGCATCCTCGCTGTGTAAGGCTTGCACAAGACACATTTACATGCAAGCACTTAGCAAGAATTGGTTTCTGGTATGAAACAAGTGAGAGTAAGCGTGTGCAGCAGTCTTCGTGGATGACGTTGTTTGGTGACATGGCGTTGGATCTGACTCCGAGACCCTTTGTACACAGAATGAAATGGCCTGTCCTGTGCCATCCGCACAATTATTATATTTGAGCCCGTTGTGGCACTACTTATTACTCCAAATAATTTAATAATTCTTGAATGAACAAGAAGATTCTATTAAATAACCACAGTGGGATTTGCCTTTAAAATTTACCTTTAGTCAATTTAACAATTACCTACCAGCTGAACTCCAATTTTGTTAATTGATCCAGTAACGCCCTGCTTTTTGTTTGTTCCTCTTCACTACAGTTCAATTGAGAATCATAGATTGTGTTAAGTAATTATACTTCTTGAGTTTCCTTTCATTTGGTAAATTTTCTCAAACTTTCTTTCCATGACAAAATAATTTCTGCTTTCCAATGGTCTGTAATTCATTACTATCTTTAATTATTTTGATCATTAATTCCCCCCAGATTTAACCCATTAGCCCTGTGCCCTGCTGACATGTGCTTATTGGTTGTTGTTATTTTTTTTCCCAGCGATTTAAACTTTTCTGGCATAAATAGATGTTTTAGGGTCATCTTGACTGTCTTTGCCTGCTCTAACTCTGGAATCACTCACTTGTACAAGAAAAAGTAAACGAACAAAAAGCTCACTGTTAACTGGGCTTATCCTGACTCATAGCGACCCGACTGGATAGGGTAGAAGAGCGTCTTCCAAGACTGTAACTCTTTATCGGAGTACACAGTCTCATCTTTCTCCCACAGAGCAGCTGGTGGTTTCCAACCGCTGACTTGGCAGACAACAGCCCAATGAGGAACCCCTAAGCCACGAGGGCTCCTTTTGTACAAAAAGTCCAGCTTTATACAAAAAGCCCAGTACCTTTTAATAAGAAATGGTCAAAATCTGCAAGCTAGATGTCTTCATGGAGGTACATTTGCTACGAGGTGCTTTTAGCAGACAGAAATGCACATACATTTACACACACAGAGTGGGTGTGTGCATAAAATGTATTAGATAGCAGGAGCGCATACTGATACCTCCAATGTCAATGCAATCCAATAGGATTCTATGTTCTTTGCTTTCCACTTTTACACATGAGTATAGTCCTTCTTCCACAGTGAGAATCCTAGATTCTTACAACATCGATGCATAGATCTACTCAGTCTTACCATCCACCCAAAATAATTTTCTAGAGCTTCATCTATACAACTACAAGAAACAAACCTTTCAAAAAGAACTCAGGCTTGTTTGGAGTTGACGCTTCTCCCCTGCTCACTATTAGACTGAGGATATAGGTGCTACATGCAGAAGTTACTTCAGTTAACTCCCTTGTGTCCTCTGTTATTCACTTGAAACACGATTAGATTTATTTGCTTTGATTTACTTAGCTTTAATTTTTTCCCTCTAATTACTGATTATATATATATATATACACACATATACACACACATATATGTATGTATGTGTATACATATATAGACATTCTTAACCTGGGGAGTTGCTGTATAAAAAGGTGGAGAGGTCAAGTCCCTCATCTGCTTTGAAAGAGAGAGTAATGGTAGAATGACTGGGTAGCGTAACCAGGTGACCTCTGGGTCACAATGAGAAAGTGCAGAGCTAGGACCCCCAGACTAGAACTGTGCGGGAATCAGGGTTTTTTGGCCTTGGCTATACTGACAGGTTGGCTGGATAAATCATTGTTGTGGGAGGCTGTCGTATGCATTGTAGGATGTTTAGTAGCACCCCTAACCTCCACGCAGCGTGTGTCAGTAGCAGTGCCCAAGTAGTGACAATCAAATTTATCTGCTGACGGAACCAAATGTTGGCAGAAGGGCAAACCCTCCCCCATTTGAGAACTACTGAAGTAGATTTTAGCGAGCAGAAACTACTAGAAACTTGTCTGGACTCAAAGAACCCAAAACTAAAAAAATATAAAGCACAGGAACAACAATTTATCACAACCCCACATGTTCATGTTAGGCCTTATATCAATACCCGCACACCCATTGAGCTGTGCCCAGAAGACCAGCAGTTCGAACTCACCAGCTGCTCCCCAGCACAAAGACCAGGTTATCTCCTCTCATATTGATTTTCAGGCTCAGAAACCCTAGGCAGCAGTTCTATACTGTTTTATATAGTTACTATGAGTCAGAATTGATTGCATGGCAGGTTTTTTTTTCTTTCTGTATATCTCTATATAGCTATAAATATGTTGATTGATCAATAGTGAATCTACAAATCCTTGGTGGCACTGTTAGGTAAGCATTGAGATGCTAACCACAAGGTCAGGGGTTCAAACCTACACCTACTTTCAAGAGAAAGAGGCTGGTCTGTTCCAGCAAAGATTTGCAAAGCCTTGGAAACCCATAGCATCCCTATGCATGGTAGGTAGATGATTTCATGTCAACTTGAAGAGCTATGAAAACGTAGGGGTGGAATAAACTCACAGCCTGATAATGCCTCGTTGGAGGTGGGCCCTTCTTATAAGGAGGACCCTGGGAACTCCCCTACTCCCCACCTCTCTGCCCTTTCACTTTCCTGCTTGCTGGAACTCTGCCACTGACCCTGCGAGCTGCTGGTGCCCTGCCATATTCCCCCGACGACCTTGGATCCACGAGATGCTGCACGCACCGGCCTGTGATCTTCCTGTGACTGTGTGAATCTGAAAAGGGACTTATGGACCAGTGTCACACTTACGGACTGGAGTTAGGCTGGGCTGGGATGCTTGCTTGATATGTAATTATTTCTTGATGTAAAGCTCTTTCTTATACATATATGAGTGTCACTGCATTTATTTCTCCAGACAACATGGCCTAACACAATCACTTTGAATCAAAATTGATTTGATGGCAGTGTATATGTAATTATGTGTGTGTGTGTATATATATATATATATAATTGTCGCGTGCTTCCACAAATAAACACTACACAAGGACTACTTAGATTTTCTTGATACACTTTGATTTTTGCCCTGCTTCTCTCCACTCCACTCTCACCAGTTTATGATTTTCCGGATTATCTTTGTCATGCTTACTTTTGGAAAGGTTAGTGGATATATGTATGATAGCTCCCTCTTTCTTACACAAAATGTCAAACACTGTGTATATTCTTCTTAGTTGCCTTTTTGGTTTCAAAATACACCCAGGAAATCCCTCCTTATAGCTTTGTAGAATTCTTTTTACATTAGCATGATAAGTGTGAAATCGTATCACAGTAAAGGTTTAGTTTGCATTTCTCTTACTGATTGTGCAGTGATGTTGAACTTAGCAAAGTTGGTGATCCTTTTATTAAAGCTCTGTCTTCATATTTTTGGTCAACTGTTAATGTTTTTTGTCCAATTATATATTAGGTTTTCAATATTTTTCTTAGTATTTTATACTTAAGAGTTCTTTATATATTAGGCAAATTAGCTTTTTACCTGTGACACAAGGGAGTTTCAAAAAGGGAATTAGAAGGTAGTGAAAATTTTCCACAAATTTTTATCTCTATTTGTCATTGTCTTTTGATTATATTTTGTTATCCCAGTTTTTATTTTAGTAAATTTTTATGTAGTCAAATTTTCCTTGTATTTTGATTTTGAGTTATAGCTGGAAAGTCTTTCTGCACACTTAGATTATAGAGTAATTCTCTCATTTTTTTCTATTACTGATATAATTGCTTTTATTTCTTTCTGTCCTTCTTCCTCTCTTTTTACACTAAGACCCCTGTTCCTATTGCAGTATATTCTTGCTTATGGTTGAAGAATGAATCTAACTTTATCTTGTTCAAAATGGCTATTCTGTTGTCCCAATCTAATTTATTAAGAAGTCCATCCTTGTCCCACTAATTTGAGATACCACTTTCATCATATAATAGATAATTATAGGTATTTGTGTCTATTTCTGGACTTTCAATTCTCTTTCCTCGGTCATTTGTCTATTCATGTCAGTACTACATCCTTTAATTATAGAAGCCTTATACTAGGTCACTCTATCACTCTTCCTAACGTATATCTTTTCTTTATGTTGTGGGCAGAATTCCAAGATGACCTTACCAGGGGTCCTCAAACTACAGC